TGTGCTTCTGCTTCATCAATAAATGGACCCTCTTTCCAATTAGCCTAGAGCCTCCTTTTTGTCTCCAGTGTCTTTCTCCCAGCGTGGAACTGAACCAGATGGATATTTCTCCCAACACTGCACATGTAGATGGAGATTCGAACCCACACCACCCTCCAGGCCTTCCGCAAAGCCGTTAAAACCTAGCTGTTTCGACAGGCCTAGGAGTAAAGAGCTGCTGCCCCCGTTTCGAATGGTATGACTGTTGTGTGTTTTTAAATTATGTATTGTTATGTTTTGTTTTTTATTTTTTGTCTGTACCCCCCTCCCCCTTCCCTGATTTGATTTGTTAGCCGCCCTGAGTCCCCTCCGGGGAAAAGGGCGGCATATAAATATAATGAAATGAAATGAAATGAATGAAATGAAATACGGTATATAGAGTTCTCTCCCATTTCTTTTTATAGGTCACTCTGTGGCTAATTTATCTCAGGCTGAGATGGCTGTTGGTCAGGGAGCTACCTTCATTACTCACCTCTTCAATGCCATGTTACCTGTGAGTAGTACCTAGGCAAGTTTCCACTTCCAGCATCTTAACCAACTGGTTGTAAGTTACTTTTTTTTCAGTGAATTAACGCCTGGGGTTTGGAAAACCCACTATTCCACGGAATTGTGATTCCTCCACTTAGGAGATCGCTCAGGTTGTGTGGTCCGGCCAAGAAATGGAAGAGTGGGTTCTGTAGTCCTTGTTCCTAATCCATGGATTTAACTGCCTTGTGTCCTGACATTTCTTGTTGCAGTTTCACCATCGAGACCCCGGGATTGTGGGACTTCTCACAAGCGACAAGATTCCTCCCGGCCAGCAAGTATTTTACGGCATGATCTCAGATGGGATCCATACGAATCCTGCTGCTCTGAGAATCGCACACCGGGCCCATCCTCAAGGTCTGTCTCTACCAGGGGGACAATTCCCCTGAGATGAGAAGGGGCATTTTAAAATTTGTTGTTGTTTGTTGCAAAGTCGTATGCGACCCATCGCGACCCCATGGACAATGTTCTTCCAAGCCTTTCGGTCCTCTACCATCCTCTGGAGTCCATTTAAGCTCACGCCGACTGCTTCGGTGAGTCCGTCCAGCCACCTCCGTCTCTGCCGTCCCCTTCTTCTTTTGCCCTCAGTCGTTCCCAGCATGAGGCTCTTCTCCAGGGAGTCCGTCCTTCTCATTAGATGGTCAAAGTCTTTGAGTTTCCCCTTCAGGATCTGGCCTTCTAAAGAGCAGTCAGGGTTGATCTCCTCTAGGAGTGACCGGTTGG